CCCGGGTGTGCAGCTATGGGGGGGGTGGTCCGTTCCCGGGCATGCGGCTATGGGGGAGGCCCCACCCCCGGGGCGCGCAAGGGGGGGCCCCGCCCCCAGGCATGCAAGTGTCCCCGCCCTCTGGCGCCCAGCCGGCGAACGGCCACGCCCCCTAGCGCCCAGCAACCTCAAATGGTTGGGGACCACTGTTCTAGTCCATCTTCCTGCATTGAGGCTGTATTAATAAATACAGTTAGACCATCCTTGGCTATGGGGGAGGCCCCACCCCCGGGGCGCGCAAGGGGGGGCCCCGCCCCCAGGCATGCAAGTGTCCCCGCCCTCTGGCGCCCAGCCGGCGAACGGCCACGCCCCCTAGCGCCCAGCAACCTCAAATGGTTGGGGACCACTGTTCTAGTCCATCTTCCTGCATTGAGGCTGTATTAATAAATACAGTTAGACCATCCTTGACGGGTGTTTGTCTACACTGTTTTTAAAAAGCCTCCCAGGGCAGAGATTATACAACCTCTCTTAATAACCTTAATTATCCTTACACTGTAGTTAGAAAGTTTTTCTTAATATCAAATGTAAATCTTTCTTACTGCAGATTAAGCAGGTGACTCCTTGTCCTACCCTTGGATGTAGAAAACAGTTTATCACTATCCTCTTTTCAACAAACTTGGAGAGAAGTAACTTGTTCTCTTGGAAAGGCAGCTTCAAGATGTTTTCACTGATTAGTGGTCAAGACTTAAGGGTTTCCATTCTCAGTAGCTTCAGATGTACTAGCAATTCATACCAAAATGCAAGGGGTTAAATGGCAGGTCAGAATGCTGTGAGTTCATATTAAGTGCATTGTTTGTGAACATTATTATTGATGATCTGAGAAATGACTTCAGTTACTGTGGGTGTTAATGTTTCCAGATATTCTAATATATGATAGGGCACAACTAACAATTTTAAAAGCCAATTGAATACTCACTGTTCAGGTCCAGCATATTAGCTTGTGGACAGATCTGTGTGTCCATTACATGGGTGCTCAGTGTTTTGGAGTGGGCATCAGAAGCTTTCTTGCTTTGAGCATGCATGCCTCAGGTAAGGGCCAAGCAGGAATTCTAATATCTGAATAGGGTAGAGACTATTCTGTTTCTGTGCCCCCATTGTTCTAATTAATGGATTTATTCTCCCACACCTCACTTCCCTCAGTCCTTTATTCTCACGCTGAGGTGTCTGCTGAAAAAAGCCGCTCCGCATCTCCCTGGTCTGCTGGGGGGGAAGGGGGGGGGGCGCTAGCTTCACATCTCCCTGGTTTGCTGGGGGGAAGCACCTAGTGCAGGGTTGCCTCACCCCGTTTGTAAGTAGGGATCCGATGTAAGTCAGATCCATGTAACCCGGGGACTGCCTGTATTGCAATCTGAAAGGTCCTTTTAAAGCCTCCCATATTCATATACTTTTCATGCTTCCATGTACCTGGCTGGCAGATTGCATTATTACTTTTCTTGTTGCCTGGGAAAGCATCAGGGGCTAGCTGGCTGCAGGCACCAATATCCAGGTATGCGTGCCCGTTCACAGAGGAAGTCCTAAAGTGAGGTAGTTGTTTTAGCATCTCCAAGTCAGCATAGGGTTCACTGGCTTTAGCAGAGGCAGGAAACTTAGAATTTCAGAATAGAATGGAAATATTTCTTCTACCCACATCAGTAATTTTCCATCAAAATTCAAACCTGAATACAATTTTCTGTTTATATTTCAAGATAAATCTGACAAAACCATTTATTTGTATTGAGAATCTACATAATACTAGCAGTAGCCAGTGGCTGAATATTCCACTTATAGCTGGTTTCATTTTTCTCTGCAGCAAAGAGGTGGCCATTTTGTGCAGCTTTCTGTTGGGACTAGGAGATAGCTGCTTTAACACCCAACTCCTCAGTATTTTGGGGTTCCTTTACTCAGAGGACAGTGCACCTGCCTTTGCTGTCTTCAAATTTGTCCAGGTATTATCTTGTGTTTAAGTAGCAAAATCAGACTGTGTATATGAACATGTCTTTTGGTAGTGAATAATTAGTATTCTACTGAAATAATTCCGAATTTTTTTTTTAGTGAGCTCAATAAATTTAATACTATCCTTCCCAGAAAAGATGCAAACCTGTTCTGTTTTATGTGCAAAAACTGGTTCAAGTAGTAGCAAGGTTCCCAGTTGCCAGCCCTCCTGCGACTGAACTCCTGGCTGCCTGGGCTCTGGTTCAGGAACACCAGAGAGTCCTGGTTTTGAGAGGTTCAACCCATACCACAGGTCACTTGAATCATAGAATCATACCTGGTTGTGGTACAACCAGTTGTGCCTAGCACTTAGTGAGGGGAGCATGGGTATAAGAAGAATTGAAATGGTCATTTTAGATGTTTTAAATCATCACCCCAAAATATTTATAATTCTGCCAGTTGTGGACTAAATTAGAAGCCCTTCATCTAAATGAATGCTTTATCCTATTCGGAATGGGTTGTGTTGATTAACTAGCAGACACTGAATCCAAGTGGATTCCCTCTAAAAGAAGAAAGCTTTCAGGTTTTGAGTTTTCCTAGATCATTTTTTGTGATCCTCAAAAAACTGAGTCATGAAGGACTGGCATGACTTGCCCAGAGTCACACAGTAAGTTAGATCTGGGAACCGAGCCCAGGTGTTCTAACTGCCAGCGATGTGTTTAAGCCAACTACAACAAGCTGCCATGTTTGTAAGGACTTTTATTATTTCCATTGATTTGCTGATGCACCATTCTATTTTGATACCATTATCCAAATAGTTAAGTATTTACGGTGATGATGGGTAATGCTAACAATAAAGGTTCTTCTTCGAGTAGTGTCCCCGTGGGTGCTCCACTGTAGGTGAAGGGTTGCCCTGAGCCACAGATCGGAGCTTTGTATAGCAGTTTCCCCTGTTGAGCCACGCATGCCCAGGAGGCGTCTCGAGCCCTTCCCTCCTCCTGAGGAGCGTGACTCAACCCCCTCCCTTTCAGTTCCTCTTTAACCGTCCTCATCAGCGGACGGAGCAGCCAGGAGCTCCCTGTCAGACTGACTACTTTCCTCTTAGTTATTTAGGCATAGTTAGCTTCCCCAGTTTTATCCTAGTTACTCTTTCCTTGTTTCTTTATAAAAAAAAATAGAAATAGGAAAAATAGACTTAATTAAATCCCCCCCCCCCCCGGGGGGCTTCAGCTTTCTCCCGCCTCTCAAAACAAGAGGTCTCAAAACAAGAAACACATAAAGACTTAAAAAAAAAAAAAAAAAGCAAAACCACATAAACTGTAACAATATAGAAGATAAATATAATAATTTCAAGAGGGAGAGAGCCCACAATGTCCGGCTCCTCAGGTTTTAAAAAGTGTGGTCAATGCCGGGACCCAATGCCGGCTTCAGATGGCCACTCGGACTGCATACGGTGTTTGGGGGAGACCCACTTTCCCCACAATTGTACCCACTGCAATTCCCTGACGGCGAGAGCCAGAAAAGACCGTGAGCTCTGCCTCAGGATGATTTTATTTGAAAAAGCTCTACAGCCTGCGGGAGAACAATCTGCACCGCGGCAAGAGCCTCCGCCGCCTTCCAAAAATGCCCTGTGACCGAGAGCCTCTCCATCCCGCTCTCTTCCAGCCTCTTCCTCTCCCAAACACAGAGGAGAGGCACACCAGGCTGGGAAGTCCCCTGCCACTAAGGCTTCGGGGCGATCTTCCCACTCCGCGCCGGTATCGGGGCGCTCAACAGCTGAACGGCCCCGGGAGCGCTCTAAGAAGCCGGCACGGCATGAAAAGCCGGCGCCGATTCAAACCGCGGTGCCGCTTCAGAGCGCGGCACCGCTTCCAGCCCCCGGCGCCGCTTCAAGCCTCTGCAGCGCCGAAAGCTACACCACGGCTTAAAGCTGCGGTGCCTCTTAAAGTCCCGGCACCGCAGCAAAACGATGGGCAGCCTCCGAAGCCACTGGCACCAGCTGATGCTCCGCTGGTCCTGCCACAGCCAGACAAGCAGCCAGATGAGGCTCTGTGCTTGCCCTCTACTTCTTACTCTCCTGGGAGGTCTCCATCAAGGGAATCCCCTCCCAGGTTGATATCACCGTTGTCTCTTCACAACGCTCCCCTTCCTGATGATGACCACCGCACGGTCTATTCCTCACGACATCCGTCACCTGGGAAGGCTCGCTCCCACCATTATAGGGCTCCGCCACAACATGGCCCATGGCACCCATACTGGTCTTACCCACCTCCACCTTATCCACCACAATGGGGACCGTGGAAACACTGGGAGCCATATGGACACCGCTCCCCACCTCGTTCCACTGCATCCCGGAGAAGTTTGCCTCAGCCACAACCCCTACCTCCACCAAGTTTTTCGGAGGACGAGGTGAAACAAATCTCAGACAATGCCTCAGATACTCAGTAAACGTCACACACTCTGATGCC